GTATATATATATATATATAAATCTCCTGCATATTATTGCTTTCATATATGTACTTTTGCTTATTTAACTAATTGGTTGCTCTGTTGTCATCCAGGTACTATTCGCCGCGAGAACTGCAAGCACTCACCTCGGAGGGCGAAGACTTCTCGAACGAAGGAATCAACGTGTAGTGTACCAACCCGCTCTGATTGATACAGGATGATACCCCAATGAGTATTAACTTAAGCACACAAGCTTATATTTGCACGCCGACAGATCCGATTTGTGTAAATCTACGCCTGTTGCGACACGGCTCTGATTCTTCAGAGACATTTGGGCTTGTGTCTACAGCTTTCACTCGGCTTAATAGCACGAGGGCCCACGGCTTATTGTATCATAACAGTGCAAATCTTATGTTATGTGGAAGTCTATATGTAGAGTAGACTGTTCTGTCACACAGGGCAAGGGCAGGGCAGGACAGGGCGTGCCGTGGATAGTATGGTGTACCTCGAAGGGGTCGTGAGGTTCGCCATTTTTCATGGGAAGCCCAGGTTACCGCTGCTAAACTGTCCTGTTCTATGATTATGAACTACAACAATTTTGCTTGGTTGCCAAACTTTTTGAAAATCTGGTCTAAACACTCTTTTTAAATAACAACTTCTCGTGGTACTATGGGGGCTCTGGCGTCCACAGTCGCACCTTTTGCTGGACAATTAAGGGCGAGATATGCTGGCACTCTAAGAATATGCGAGGTGAGCTGTATAAGTGTATTTCATGCTTGTATTGGCTAAGTGTAAAGAAACGATTGGCTGTTTCTGTGGTGTGGCCGATGTTAAAATGAACAGACAGCACGATAGGGGCAGGGAAAAAAACAAACAAAAACAAAACTATTATGCAAGTCAGCAAAAACAATTTATTACAATACGATTACCGACACTGTTCTGCGTGTTTTACAAGTGGTCACAGGAGAGATCATACATGTTTTAAGAAGCTTATGGACTATCGTAAGCTTATTTAGGACTATCGTAAGCTTATTTAGGACTATCGGTTCAAATGGTCTGTAAGACGTTAAGTGATGACGAGCTTTCGTGAGCAGTGAATCTCCTACTCAATTGGTGACGTCTCTACTACTGACGAATCTGGTGGATCCTCACGTTTTGGTCCGTGCAGCTAATGTGGGAGAGTTTTAAAAATCCAGTGGTTGGAACTTTATAGGCTCATTATTAACTACGGGACAGTGGGGACACGGGTAATGTCTCAAAAAAGTGGGACCTGTATTCTGTAAGGCGCCTAAGGCTGTATTATCTGTATTCATAATTTCATACGTACATATGTACTCTCAATTTTGAATTGTTTTTGCTGTACATGACACAACAACATACCCTTGACACACTCGCAGTTCTTGCGTGCCAGTCATGTCTCTACTTGCACTATTCACACCACTTACAGTTCAGACAGTCAAGCATACGTACCAGCGTAAGCATTCTTGTACTAATACAATAAAGCAATACTGTTGCCTTCACAATTCTGTTGGATAGTCCGTCACATTCCTATCTGACATTTTCACATATTTAACAGACAAGTTGAAGTTGTTAACTTGTTTATGTCAATTCTGCTAGCAGTTTATCCTGAATTCCTACATATACACGCTAGTTTATACTCCAAATAAACCGTAAGATTTACTCCCTCAAATACCATGAGTATGTATGTACCAGGTCCAAGACTCCAGAGTCCAGGCGGCGGCGCGGCGCCATACAGTTGTCTTTTTTTTTGGCGCCCTGTGTTTATACATAAGTACATACATTGGTGTTTTTTCAACTTTTTTTTGGGCCATTTAAAAAATGAGTATTTATTAAGAAAAAGTATTCAAAAATGTCTATAAATATATACATTACATATAAGAGTAAATATGAAAAAAATAGAGACTAAGTGCAGTAAATTTTATATTTATTTATTACAGTATCATGCATTATGTATTTTATTTGTATGTTGTCTTTTTATTTAAAATCCATTTGATTTCGAATCTTCGATAAAATTCAAAAAGATTGTTTAAAAAAATAAATAGATATTTTTTTAACTTCATGGCTGCTTAGGGCTCAGAGCATGACTCATCAATATGTACATATTTTATATGTTTTTAAAAAAAATATCAAAAATATAAATAAAACGACTTTGTCTATACGACACCCATCACTATTTATACCATTATTATAACGCCCGAGCCCGTGTCCAAAACCGCATCCGGACCATTCGCAAAGGTAGGGTCGATATTTATGGACTCACGACCCCACGTAAGGCGACTTTGGCCCAAGTAGCGAACTATTAAGCATGTACACTTTGCGAGAAAAAATCTTTACCGACACAACAGTCAAGTATCAGTTTTCGGTACATAATCTACACCTATATATCACCTGAAATAGAATACAAGTATAAAACGCCTCAGACTCTCTAGTAGAGCGAGAGCCAATGTTCTGATAAACCTGTGAGCGAATTCAAAAAAAATCGTTTCATAGCCTTCTAAATTATTTTTACAATAAGAGAAGGCTATGTATGAACGTGCTCTGTAGTTCAACAATGTTAACTTTTGTTTTGTCCTTTCTGTTTGTAAATTTCACTCGGTTGAGTCGGTTCATAAACACAGAAATGAATACTATGGCTCGGGCGTTAAACATTTTATAGTGATGGGTGTCGAATAGACAAAGTCTAGCCTTCTAAATTATACAATAAAACAAACATTGCTTTTGTTTTTTTTACAAAACAACAAAAACATCACAAAAACAAATCAAAAACAAAAACTTGAGCCAATCGGCAATCTGGCCAATCACTTCGATACAAAAACTAAGTGCGTTTCGTGAAATATGGGCTGATGCAGTGATCGGCTGATCCTGTAGTTGATACGCACGGCTTTTGGTGTCAATACTCAATAGTCATAGGTTCATGGGTCATGATGACTCATGGAGTCATGGATTCAACATGACTTGCAGTTTGCACTTTGCAATTTCCACTTTGCAGTTTGCACCCATTCAAAATATAATAAATGAGAGTATAGACGTCGAAAGAGCCGAACCACTGCCTGTCCCAGTGTGTCAGGTCAATAAATATAGTATACTTTTTAATAATAATAATAATATATATGTTCGCTTCACAACCAGCTCGGATACATATATACACAGACAAGCAAGAACAACCGACTGCCAAGATGACTAAAAAACTCGACACAAAACATTTGATTAATATCATCTTGTGCATACTTCTTCCCCCTCTTGGTATGGCATTTATTTATTAAGAAAAGCATTTTCGTACATCCTGATGAATTTCGGTGTTGGTTCTAGTGTGTCGTCCGTAGACCCTGTGATTATATGTGGCAAGGTATGCCTACGAGCGCTTTAATTTGGGCTTAAAGGTCTTGAATACATTTTTCTTGAATAGTGCTTTTTATTTTCGAGAATTATATACCCGTCTCTTAATCCTACCGGCGGGTGTGCCATTAACCGGAATACTATTGAGTAGTAACCACGATGGCAGGTACATCGAAGGTAGCTCATTAATATCCATGTTTCATATGTGGGGATGATACTTTGCAACAGACCATAAATATAGGTTATTTTTTATGATTCTCATGTATAGTTTCTTCCTCATGATTCGTTTAAAAAATACTATGTTCTCAATTGTTTTTTTATACATATTATTAAAAACAACTGATTTCAGTATATAATTAATTCTCAACAGCTGTGGGTCTGAAGAAGGGTCTCAATCAAGATTTTCTAATCAATTTGCTGCTGTGCTTATTCTTCTGGTTACCCGCGATTATCCACGGGTTCTACGTGACGACGACATCTACTAAAGACGACTATCTACCAATCCGCTAAATGGTCTGTAGAGCATTGGCGGAAAACCTTGATATGAATATAAATACATGTGTAGCTCTGCTTTCAAACTCGACAACGGTGTATATTTACTAAATAAAGAAATATTTATATTGCTTAATCAATCTGACTTGTTCTTATTCTCGATTTCAGCTCTAGCAGTGGCAGAAGTAGGGATCTGAGGACCATTTAACTCAAAATTCGTTATGCGAAATGATTTGTTGGGTGCACTAAAAACGAAACCTAGTGCAGATCGAACTCGGAAGGTAGAACGAATAATAAAGAAAGAACACATTATAAAAGCCCCCCTTTTAGACGAGTCAGTCAATCCGTGGGGGTTGTGTCAGACTGTCAGAAGTGTTCGAATAAATAAGGGTTGATATAGTGGGAGTTGAGTTAGCGGGTATTGTCAGTGTATGCATGATTCATACTCTTTAAACTACCACGTTCAAAAAACGTGTAACCGTGTACGCATGTATATATAATAGACATATACATACATACACGTGCACACGTGTACACACACACACATATATATATATATATGTACATACATATATATATATATATATATATATATATATATATATATATATATAGTATACTACACACACACACACACACACACACATATATATATATATATATAAGTATATGTATATATGCATACATACATATACACATACACACACACTCACACACTAATATATATATATATATATATATATATATATTTATATATATATGTATGTGTGTGTGTAAATATTTCTATTACATACCTATATTTTTAATCTTCATATATTCACACACCCCAATTGATACACACTGAAGTTATATTTACCAATTGACGTTACGTATTTGAACAGGTATCTGGGACGGGGCATTGGCTAGTAAAACGCTTTGGCAATTGTCAAGACGTACGAAGGGCTTCAGAGAATTGCTCAAGGATTCTAAAAGCGGTTTGCAATATGAGGGTAACTACGAAGATGTGCAGAAACTGGTATTGTATGCTCAGGTAAGCCGTTCAGGGTTTTAGGGTTTTAAAGGTGTAGTACGTTTGGCAGGTTTGCACATCTCATTGTATTTACTTGGCGTGCAGTGTCAAGTGTCTTCATATACACACATAATCGGCTCTAATCAACGTAGTTTGGTGGTTGTTTACAGTATTTGACGGAGATTTGATACTTCGCGCTGCCTTCACGTACACGTGGTATCGTATACTATTGTGGTTTTAGTTTTGGATTCCTTCGATGTTCAACATACACACACACACACACACACACACACACTATATATATACATATATATAGATATATTTATATACCTGTTTTATAACGTTACCTCACTTTCACAATCACAGACGGCACGAGCCGTACAGATGGCAAATCAATACGAGGCTCTGCACAGGGGATGTCTGTTCGACTCATTCGGACGACAGATTGGTGGCCAGGTGACTGTGATGGTTGGTATGTATAGGAATTGTGTAATAGAGTGCTATGTAGTTAGTATTCTGGATTTGTAATTTGGGAAATGTCTTGTTCTTGGCGGGTTTACTTGGCTAAATGTATAGTATTTTGGATACACTATTCGGGAAACGTCTGGTTTTTGGGGCGTGTTTGGTTTACTTTGCTAAATGTAGTCACGCATGCTTGGTGTAGTACAGCCATGGTACACATGATTGCGTGCGTGTAAGTATAAATATAAAGCAGTGACGTGTAGATACAAGTAAGTATGCAAGTATAAGTAAGTGTGCGAGTATAAGTAAGTGTGCAAGTATGTAAACAAAAAAGTAGATACAAGTGTGAAAGTATAAGTAAGTGTGTAAGTATAAGTAAGTGTGAAGTATAAGTAAGTGTGTAAGTATAAGTAAGTGTGAAGCATAAGTAAGTGTGTAAGTATAAGTAAGTGTATAAGTTTAAGTAAGTGTATAAGTTTAAGTAAGTGTGGAAGTATAAGTAAGTGTGTAGATACAAGTATGGTGTGTAAGTGTATAAGTATGAGTAAGTGTGTAAGTATAAGTAAGTGTGTAAGTATAAGTGTATAAGTATAAGTAAGTGGGTAGATACAAGTAAGGTGTTAAGTATAAGTAAGTGTTTAAGTATCAGTAAGTGTGTAAGTATAAGTAGATGTGTAAGTATAAGTAAGTGTGTAAATATAAGTAAGGTGTGTAAGTATAAGTAAGTGTATAAGTATAAGTAAGTGTATAAGTATGAGTAAGTGTGTATGTATAAGTAAGAGTGTAAGTATAAGTAAGTGTGTATGTATAGGTATGGTGTGTAAGTATAAGTACGTGTATAAGTATAAGTAGGTGTGTAGATACAAGTATGGTGTGTAAGTGTATAAGTATGAGTAAGTGTGTAAATGTAAGTAAGTGTGTAAGTATAAGTAAGTTTGTAGATACAAGCAAGTATGTAAGTATAAGTAAGAGTGTAAGTATAAGTAAGTGTGTAATTTTAAGTAAGGTGTGTAAGTATAAGTAAGTGTATAAGTATAAGTAAGTGTATAAGTATTAGTAAGTGTATAAGTATGAGTAAATGTGTAAGTATAAGTATGAGTGTAAGTATTAGTAAGGGTGTATGTATAAGTATGGTGTGTAAGTATAAGTAAGTGTATAAGTATAAGTGTATAAGTATGAGTAAGTGTGTAAGTATAAGTATGAGTGTAAGTATAAGTAAGTGTGTATGTATAAGTATGGTGTGTAAGTACAAGTAAGTGTATAAGTATAAGTGTGTAAGTATAGGTATGTGTGTAAGTCTAAGTAAGTGTGCAAGTATAAGAAAGTGTGTAGGCACAAGTAAGTGTGTATGTATAAGTACGTATCTGTATGTATGATGCTTGTTTGACAAAGGCCAGTTGTGTGTGGTGTTGTGTTTAGGGCATATCAGAGGTCTGGGTGGTATACGTACCACTGGCGACTGCTTACAAGCACTCAGTCATCAAACACAACACACTCACTTACGTTACCTAACAGTTCACTGTACTTGGTTACTAAGTTCACCATACTAAACCCTAAACCCTACTTTGATACTGAATGCGGATAATCTCACAAGGGGTGGTATTATAACTCAGTTCATGGTGTATTTACTAAACCCTTAAACTCAATCTCACCCCAGGTAAGGCTGATTTAACAGGCCAGCACTCTGTGAGTGTGGCCGTAGACGGAAGAGAGTTAGTGGGGTCACGCCAAAGCACACACAGTGGAGAGGAGGTGGAGGTATGCTAATGGGTTGTATGTACATGTGCTTGCATATTATATGCCTATATTTAGATAT